AATGTCATTTAACACAGGTGGTTGTGCACATTGCTTGGAGGCGTCTTAAAACCCTTTAAAAAAAAAAAAATTTAAAATTCACAGCTTGTGGTTCTCCTGCTGAGCACCGGCTGCTCGCTTCCCCTCAGCAGCGGGCTCCATGTTCCTCTTCTCTGAGGTCTGGTGTTACAAACGCCCGCTCAACTCCGCTGACCCCGCTGGCCTTCGCCGGCGGCCGCCGGGCTGGTGTTCCGGCAAATGCACGGCTGGGGGCACCTGGCCTGGGCCACCTCGCCGGCCCGGGGGTGAGCTTTCCCTTACAGAATGCTGCAGAACGGAATGCATGTGCAGCCCGGCCTTTCCGTGGCCAGCCTGGCCTTTTTCGGTAGATTAACGCTCCCCTGAACGCATGTCTGTCTTCTGTACCCGGTGACAGGGAGAGCTGACATGTTCTGGCACGCAGGGAAGATTTAACACGTGTCTGTGTAATATTAGTTCATTTTAGGGTTCTCAGGCTCTTGGAGCTTGTTACGTTCTCCTGAAAATGCCCCTCTGCAGGTGTCCGTGCCCTTTGGCTCTGCCTTGGGCTGGGAATCTCCACGCAGACGGGCTGGCGTGGTTTGGCTGTCGCACACACGTGGTGCGTGTGACGGTGACCTTGAGGGACCCCGCGGAAAGGAGAGGCACCCGGCTGGCTCCTGCAGTGCTGGGCTGGCTCACAGAGTCTGGGCTCCCGTGAGTGCTTCCAGCCCCCCGTGTTCTGATGGGGCTGCCGTTTAATGAGACCGCAGATATTCCTGAAAACTGCTGTGGTTTGTTCCGTTATATTCCATGTAGAATTAGAATGCTGTTGGCTATGATCCTCAAAGTAGAAAAGTCTATCTGGGAAGGATGCAAAAATGCAGCCTGGTTTGGAGTTTTCTTCTTTTAAGTAGAACTTGGTTGCTGGGTCGGCATGTGGTTCACGCTAGGTGAAGAAAGAAAAAGTGACCAGTGGTATCTGAGTGCCTCTGGAGTGGAGCTGCAAACTGGCAAGGTCATATCTGGTGTCTGACCGCTCTGCAAATGTTGATGGAGAGAAATTACTGTCTGGGAGTGGAAGCGGTCCCCAGGCAGGGTCGTGTTCCAGGGGTGAGCATTCGGACTGTGCAGGGAGGAGCCGGTCCAGCGCTGGTGCAGGCAGAGCTGGCTGGACCCTTCATTTTAGTGAGTTTTGAAAAACGCTTTCAGCCTTCATGGATTAAGGAAACGACAAGACCAGCCAAAAAAGCACTTTGTGATAGAGTAGTGTTGAGGGGAAAAGTGAGTTTATAATCACATTGGCCTTATTTGCCCATTGGGGTACAATCCGCTTTTGTGCTTTATTAATTATAAATTAGCAATTCCAGGAGTAGGAAGTTACTCCAGAATAAACCAGCATATTAATCTTCAGTGGACAACGGTCTAGCTGACGGGATGTAGGGTTTGTTTCGGGAAGGAGTGACACTGGAAAGCTGCCTCGGGTAGCTAAACTCACGGCAGGTTTCTCGTTCAGGACTAAAGTACACTTATTTTCTGTTTGCTCAGAGCCTCTTCCTTTCTCTTTGCGTTCAGCTGTACTCCACGCCCGCTGCTACTCTCATGGGTCACAAGAATCAGATGAAGAATTTGATGCTCGCTGGGTGACGTATTTCAACAAGCCAGATATCGATGCTTGGGAGCTCAGGAAAGGTATGTTGGGTGAAAAGGGAGGAGTAACGTGGAGTATACAGAACTGCTTTGTAACAGTGTAGTGACCAGAAATAACTTATTTTTACTTCGCTGTTGGAGACCAGAAATAGCAAAGACTGTGAGTTTGGGGTAGGAGAGCAATCCTGTAAATACCCAGTCAGGGCAAGGCGCGGTGTGAGCCTTCTTTTATCTGTTCTGAGTCATCTGGCCGCTCCACGCGTGCCTGGGGTTGGCATGTGGCTGTTTGCTCAGCTCTGAGCCTGTTGCAGCCTGTGATGGCCCCTCACCAACCAAATAAAGGGGCTGGAAAGAACCACAGCACGCAGAATGAGGGAGGGAGGGGTACCAGGCGGTGGGAGTCCAGCCTTTGTCAATTGTAGCACCCCCGAATACTTATTTTTAACACATGGATGGGAGGAAGAGGAACATTTGCTCTGGAGAAAGTGTATTTGAGCTCAACTGTTGTTTAGTGAATAACCACACGTTTTTTTCTTTTGGACTTTGACTGCATGGCTTGGCTGTAATTCCCTGTAGACTGTTTGGTTGTCTTCAGTTGTTATTTGCTGTGGAGCTGCCAGCTTCTATTAAACTACCCCAATTAGGGTTTATAAACGTGTTTGCATAACAGCCAGAGGGATCGTTCCAGCATCACCTGGTTGACGAGGTGTTGGGCTGTTCCCTTTGAGAGGAGAGGATGGGAATAGCCACCAGTTCTAGTTTCATTACGCCTGCAGGAATTAAGTAATTTGGATTTCTTAATGATTCCATGACTGACGTGCTGCAGTACAGACACTGACTCCTTTTGGGAGCATGGATGAAACTGTCCTGCTGGGATTTCTTGAAATCGACTTAAAATCTCAAAATTGATAGTGAGCAACATTGAGGGAGATGAGCAAAAGAAAACCCTTGGCCCTGTGTGTGTGTCCCCAGCACAGCAGTGAAAATTGTCATCGGCTTCTGATGGTGACCGGTGTTGTGGTAATACTTAATTCTTTCATGACATGGAGCAAAATAACACCCACCAGGTTACTTTTGATAGTGTGATGAGCTGATACCAAATTCCTCTTAATGTTTCCTTATATTCGCAGGCATAAACACGCTTGTGGGTTATGACCTGGTTCCGGAACCAAAAATCATCGATGCAGCTCTGAGGGCATGCAGACGGTTAAATGACTTTGCCAGCGCTGTCCGCATCTTAGAAGTTGTAAAGGTGAGTGGAGCAGCAGCGTGGGGTGTCACTGCTGTGTCTGCGTTGCTGAGAGCCCGGCAGCGGAAGAGGTTTTCTTGGCTCCTTGTCAATGGTGCAAAGGGAAGCCACTGCTGGGCGTGTCAGCCTTCTGTGAACACACATCTTGATTGCACACCTGGCCAGTGCATGGTGGACCTTGAGAATGGCTTGATGTGGAAATAACACCCTTCATTTTCCTCAGGACAAGGCAGGACCTCACAAGGAAATCTATCCTTACGTTATCCAGGAACTTAGACCAACTTTGAGTGAACTGGGAATCTCCACTCCAGAGGAACTGGGTCTGGACAAAGCGTAAACCTTACTGGTAAGGGATGCCGTTGCTTCTGAGACCCTTGGCATGGGACTGTGGTGCCCTAAACCTCTCCTGGCAAATTCAGAGTCCTCTTCCTTGCCTTCGTGGGTCTGTGAGAGGCTGTGAAGTTCTTGTAATGTGATTCTCCAAATGTCTCTGTAACTGCAGGTCTCCTGGAACAGGTAGTAACCCTTTCCAAAGAAGGCTTAAAAAAAGAACAGTGCAGTTGCTTGAGAAGGGGAAGGGTGGTTGTCAACCATACCCAGCCTCCCAGAAATTTCTAGATAGCAGTTGCCAAGACAACAGGTATTGCAGCACTTATCTGGAAACATACCGACCTTTGCTCCTCATCAGGTTTTCACCCAGAAGCATTTTGAGCAAATGGCAGGGTCATTTCCTCTGGAAATGCACAAACTTCCATTTTATTGTCACAGTGTAACCAATTTAGAACACTGGGAGACACTAATTACTGACTTTATGCTAGAAAATGGGACCCACCAGGAGTAGTCATCCAACAACGCAGAAGTTTCTTCACATTACGCTTAAAATAGTTTTTTTTTTTTGGTAATTAAACACTATTTCAGAGGCCCCCTTGCTTACAGAATAAACAGATCAGCTGTAGCACAGCCAGAGCTTGTCTGTGTGCTGAATATTCCAGCCTTTTTTTAGTGTTATGATTAGAATAGAGCTGTCGGGTGTCAGGCTGCAAATAGTACTGAGTTCTGGATCTTTAAGCCCCTGCCCTTCTTCTTGTCCTGGGGTAGGAAGTCAGGAATGCAGTCACTGCGTCTGGAAGCTGTGCATGGTTATACTGGGCTTTGAGTGTAAAAGCACACCATGAAAATAACACATCTGAGACCCTGTGGAAACTTGGTGGAGATAAAGGGCTGCTGCTGCTCTTTTGATGGCTTTTCTGTTCTTTTCTGTTCCAGGTGCATTATTTGAGCGTTTTACTGATGCAACCTGATTGCGCACAGTCGCCCGGAGAAACAAATGTTTAAATACGACCTTATTGGAAATAACTTCCTTTACTGAGTCACAATGTATGTGATGGGAAGTTGGACCTAATAAAGGAAAAACTGGTTTGTCTGATGTAGCAGTGGCTCGTGTGGTTCTTTCGTTTTGCTTTTATGGGGAAAAGGAGGAGGAAATAAGCTGTAAGTGTGCTCTCCTGAGAGCGGACACGGAAGAGCTCATAAGTCATGATTTGCTTGTCAGAGGGAAGGGACAGGTAAGGATCTGGCTAGAGGACACGGTGACCCTCTCGTACCCTCTGTTTTCCATCTTGGTCCTGACACAGGGAGGGATTTGGGCCAAAAAAAAAGATGAAAAAGGGAAATTCCTTATTTTATTTTATTTTATTTTATTTTA